TATATTTAAAACATTTGTTATTAATAAATTAAATAAAAAATTATATGAAAGAATAGCTAAACTGATCATCTACCGTAACTTCAGCCAAAACTCAGCACGCGAAATAAAAAGTTACGTGTTTAATAAAAAAGCGGGCTGATAACATGATAAGTTGAAAAAATAGGCCACAAAGAGGCTCTTATACTTGCACCGTTTCTGCTGCATAGGACTGACTACGCACAAAACGCCCATCCAACGATACAACTGGTTCTGGTCTAGTTTTTTACGGGGTACTTATTTAGTTTTGTACTTAATGTGACACTTTAATTTAGTTTGGATTTTTATTTTATTTCATCCAACTCTTTCAATTCTTATTAAACCATTTACGATGAGAATAACTCCAACTCTCAAAATATGACTGTTCTACTTTAATTCTAATCTTTCAAGTTTCAACTAACCTTCTATTGAGTGATTTGCATTGATAAAATTTATTAATCCTTAGAGCTATGTTTGGTTAATGGCCCAACCAGGGATCGTCCCATTATCCCCTTGGACGAAGAACCTCGAGGCCCAACAGGAAAGGAGTACCAGACGCTCGTCGCCAGACCCTAAGGCCTACCGAGGGCGGTTATCCACAACAACCCAAGGCAAAACAGACGTTCGTCTCTTGTTAGGATGCTCTGCCTCAGGAGCCTTGGCCATCGAGGCTACCTAGCACACTCCAGCATCCACACCAGCGATGCGGTGGAGACGCTCGGCTTCTCCCCCTGTCCCATTGCCAGGAGAAGGCCCAAGACCCACGGGGATGCTCGTCCCCAAAGCTTGGCTGAAAATCAAGATTCTGGCTGAAAGCGCAATTAATGCTGGAGATTTGATAGTTGGGAGTCTACCCATCCACAGCTCTCCACGTCAGCACACCTACTACCCCTTGGTAGTATGAATAGTAACATTTATTTCATTGAAAAAGGTTGACAATTTATTCTCCCTATCATTCTAGCATTCTAGCTTTTATTCGCAGCTCTTACTTAGCGAGAAAGACGAACGACCTCAGACAAGTAGCTTAATGTGTTGTATACGGACCCTTATTAAGTTATTATCATTTAATAAGATACGACCACTGCTGCAGATATATTTGAGCTCATCTTACTTGCTTGCACTCCTGAATATTCTCACACACTCTTCCAATCGAACTCATTGGGTTATGTGTTGGCCCCCGGATTGAAGGAATAAACCTCAACGAGCTAAATTTTAATTATCTCAATTATAGTTAATTCATTCAATTTTCATCTTTTTAACTGAGTTAATTTCCTCCCTCCTATTGAAGGTTAGAAACTTAGAAGTACTTATATATAACTGTGTTTATTACGGAGGATTCTTATACTTTACATTAAATTTGGATAAATTACATTAATTATCAATATAGTAATAACAAGAGTGGTGCACATAGTTGAATTTTACTTGAGCAACAGTTTGTTACCTCCATTCTGAAATAAAAACTACGGAGTATAAAACTAAACTACTCTCCCTTTACTATAGTAGTAAAAAAGTAAGTAAAGTTGAAATGACATGCATAATTGTAGCTTGCTATAAAAATGATTAATTATGAATCATGTAAGAACATTTGCCACACAAAAAACAACTTATCGTTTATTTGAGACAATTCAAAAAGGAAATATGAAATTATTATCCTTAAAGAGTTTTATTGAAACATGACCCATTAAATGAAATTATTTTGAAATAGTCCATATTTGACATTACTTAAAGCAAATAGATAATAAATAGGGTTATTCTCGGTAATATTTTCATTGAAAGAAAAGGCATTCTTAGTTGTTGCCAATTGGCAATAGGCCCATAAAAAAGAAAAGAATGGACAAAATATAAAGTCTTTTTTATAATCCACATTTTCAGCTTATCACCTCATTAGTCTTATAATCAACTTTGTATTAATTACATAACTTTTGATTTGTCGCATTGTGTTTTATAAGTACTATTTTGTATAATTCTTTCTTTATTTCATCAACAATATATATTTTCATCAATTTCAACATACTTATCACTTAGAATGTTACTAAGCGAGCTATTAATAAGTCATGAAAAGGCCAAAAGGAAGGGCTTTCGTAAAAGACACATAAACCTGAAAAAATCTGCACTATTTCATCGAGATATCTTAATCATTCCTCAAAAACAATAATTAGTCTTAATCATACTTATCCAGATTCCTAAATAAGATATGTTTCAAGCAACATTGACATTCATTATCAAAATCAGAAGTTCAGTACTACCTGTTAATGTATTATTATAGATGGGTGGACCTTGCCCTGCCCCGGCTTCGGAACTAAACCAGAAAGGTAAAGAACCAAACATGTTACTCATTACAACAGACTTGGATTGGAATCACATTCCGTCCAAACCAGTTAGGGTTCCTCGGTTCCTTCAAAATAGACCGGGATCAAACTGTCTCAGGTTCCTATTTTAGAGTAAAACATTGGTCCGGGATCGAAATTGGTTTAGACCCAGAATGGGATTAAGCCTGTTTTTGGAGTAACGGTTACTGGTAACAAAAACGTTAGATCCAAAACCAGTTAATTCATAATTTGAATCCAAATTGGATCAGCTCCATGCCTCCATCTATCATTGTGGATAATGCCTTTAGAAAAGAAGACATTGACAACTGCCTCCTTGCTTTTATTTGTGCCTTTATGAACTTTTCTCTTCATCATCCTTTGGTACTGATGATGGTGGTGGTGGTGTGATATTAAGGGTGGGGTTCTAGTCTCAAATTCTGAAACACAATCGGTTTTGAGGAGTTCTATTTTGTTGATCCTCAACATCACTCTCGCCCTCCAAATCTAGGCATAGACAAAAATACCCTTTTCTTCTCATAATTTTGCCAAATTTCCTTATTTAGAGATCCCAATAAAATTTTGTCATTTTCACTTGAAGTAATAAATACTCACAATGTGATTAAAATTATTTCCATATTCTTTTCCAAATTTCAACCACATAATATTTACTTTATTTTTTATGCACAAGTCAAACTTATTTAATTTGATATATTATTTATAAAAATCGGATCACAAATGAAAAGACTAACAATTACAGAGAAAAATGATTGTCATGTCACATGACATGCTTAGTCATGGACTCGGGTCGGGCCGCCCTGCCCGGAACCGGCCAGGAACCGGTACTATTTGGGCCCGGCCTGGCCCGGTACCCGGTTATAGGACCGGTCCAGGCCACCCGAGCCCGGAAATAATCGGGCCGGGCTCGGGCCTCCTAAAAGTGGAACAGGCCCGGTCTATTTCTTTTTTTTTTTCTTTTTGGGATTTTTCAAATTTTTTGGTTTCTTCCGGGTTGGTCTAGGTGTTTTGGGGGGGTTTGGGGGTGGGGGTGAAGGGGGGGGGGGGTCGGGGGTTAATTAGAAAAGCAAAAGAAATTTAAAAACAAATAACATGAACCGACCCGGAACCGGTGCCTACCCGGGCCGGTTCCGGTTCTTCCTTCCCAAAAAAAAAACCCCGGCCCGAGTCCATGACTACGTATGAGGGTTAACAAAATAGAACTTACTCTCAGTCTCTCAAAGGTTAAATGTCTCCAACCAAAAGGGGGAGGTTATCAATAATGGAAATATAAAAGGCTAAAGGGTCAAATAGGTACATGAACTAACTTAAAGTGTTCAATTAGCCCCTTATACAGGAGGTTCTGTCCGGCCGTCACCAATTGGGGCGGTTCCCGGTTGAATTTTTTGATGAATTTCTTTGAGTATCTTCTTCATTAAGTCTAGTTTACCCATATCAAATTTCAGCTAAGAATTAAATCGGAAAGACAGTCAAATAATTTTCCAAAATGTACTGCATTGTTTAACTGCGCAGTTATCTTCAAAAAATCATTTGACTGCTTTCCCGGTTGAATTTTTAGCTGAAATTTGGTATGGATAAACTAGACTTAATGAATTTTTATCTTCAAAAAATCATTTGACTGCCTTCCCGGTTGAATTTTTAGCTGAAATTTGGTATAGATAAACTAGACTTAATGAAGAAGATGCTCAAAAAAATTCATCAAAAAATTCCACCGGGAACCGCCTCAATAGGCGACGGCCGGGCAGAACATCCTATATAAGGGGCTAATTAAACACTTTAAGTTAGTTCATGTACCTATTTGACCCTTTAGCCAATTTTTTTGTTGACACATGCAACATTGATAACATATGAAAAACCATATGAATTTTTTTTTAATCTATTGTTTACAAAACTTAACAAAAAATAAAAAAATTATAACATGATTTTTTTTAATTTGATTTATTTTTTGTAAAACTTGACCACAATTCACATCTACTGGCACCAAAAGAGAGATAATGTCAGACTCCAAAACTAAGAGCTCGTTTAGTAACCTTATTTTTCGACTTTCACGCTTATCAGCCAACTTATTCACCGAACATTTGACTTCTAAGTTTGTGCGTTGACTCCCGTTGAGATGTGTAGTAATAAGAAAAAGTAAAATTGAAATTATTTTTCTGGCCATATTGGGTGAAGTTGCTATAGAGGATCATTTTAGTTTTTCTTTCATATAATTTTTCTTTTATCTTATTAATAAAATATATTTTAAATACAATTTTTTCATAAATCAACAGATTCAACCACTTTAGCAGAACTTCAAAATTTAAGCAGAATCAACCGATTCAGCCAATTTTAGTGTTACCAATTGCTAAACGGCCTCTAATACTCTTTCCACTAAAAACACTCATTTTCAAAATACTTGTATCATTGTTAGAACTGAGAAAAATGACAGTAATTTTTCTTTTTGCAGGAAAGTGAGTTCTGGCGCACACTTTTGCGTTAATAAATAAATTCTGGTATACACACGGTTAACACACCACCAAAATATCCCTGCTAAAATGGTTCTTCCTAATGCAGCAATGTGCACCTACGTTATGTGGCATTTTATATACTTCTTTAATTACTACGGAGTATTTGATTTTTTACACAGAATTAGCCAATGAATGTAAGAGTAAAACAAAAAGGGGGAAATATAAATTTCTTTATCGATTGTAACCAGTGTGACTGCCAGGAACCAAGGTTATATGATTATGAAAACTCGACTCTAATTGAAACACATGCAACAGATTGACTGAAATTAATGGGTGAGAAAGGTGTATACATTCACCAAAAGAGAATTATATTACAACATTAGAATACAGAAAAATTGAAATTTTTAAAGAAATAAAATACATGAAAAACTAAAAACTTCTAATGGGATCATCTATATTTTATTGTAACCACCAGAAATGCATGATCATTCTCGCATTCAAAGTCCTCAATCTAATAATAAACTTGTGAAGTGCCAAACAGAGACTACTAGTGATGAAGACTTTATTACCTTTCAAGAAGCATGACCACTTCACAGTGTGGGGTATGCGGGAAGAGGTCAACAGCAACGGCTTGGACTGGTTTGAAAGGCTCAGAATTAGGCATGGACTTTGCCCGGTGTCGAGCAAGACTTGCACTGGTCATATTCCTCCACCCTCTGTTGTTTCTATTGTTATTGCCTTTTCCGACTGTACCAGCAGATGGAGTGCATAGCTCAATAGCATTTGCCACCAACGTTTCGGGATTACATGAAATATAACTTACCCAAAAAAAAGAGAGCCAAACTTCAGTGATTCAAGGTTAGATACAAAAAACAAAGGTAAAGACGAAAAGTTTCGTCGTGGTTTTTTTTACAAGAATATTACTAAAATAAAACTTATTTACATAAATATGACTATCCATTACTACAACGTAATGTTGTGGTAAGGTAACTTAAGTTCAAAACCTGAACATGAATTACTATGATGTCATTACTACTTTAGTCCCTATTCATATTTTTGTAAACCATCTTTATTTTGGTCATGATTATGTAATTATTTCATATTCGAATCGATTATCTATTAGACTAAAAACAATAATCACATACTCCCTCTGTCCCTTAAAATTTTGACAACTTTTCTTTTTTGGATGTTCCACTAACTTTGCCACTTTCCTTTTTAAGTAAAAAATTCGTGGTTCAAGTTAATTCTCTCTCCTCTGTACAACCTTCAACCACACAACTTTTACTACGTACTTTATTAATTCTCGTGCCGGTCAAACTTGGCAAAGTTTTAAGGGACGGAGGTAGTATCATTTTGTAAGTTCAAAAGTAACTTTTGTAAACAATTTTCCTTGATACTTTTCCCTCACGTTTACATTTGCTTCTGCATTTCCGGAATCAAAACAGACCCTTAATAAAGACCGTCACACTCCGCCAAGATGAAAAAAGTAAACAATATAACCCGGTGGTTAGAGGAACTTACACAAGCCTCCTTAGACGTTCATTGGTTCTCAACACTTTGATGACCTGCTTCCACCAAACATAGACAACAGATATTAAAACTTTCAAATTTAAGTGTTCAAAAATGCATAGTAAAGGAGATGTTTCTAGGTAAGTTCAATTTAGGCATCATAGTTCCTGCAATGTAATGCAGAAGGTACACTCAAGAATATTAAAAAAAAAGTCCATTTTCTCTGCTCCTCTTACACACTCAAAAAAAGGTAAATACTCGAGGATATCCAAGAAATCTATATTTTCTTTTTCATCTCAGTAAAAAACAATAAAGTTAGAGATTTTTCCTATAATTGGTCTAAAAGAAAATTTATGGACAAAAGTTTAACTAAAGTTACTATGAGCATACATTATGTGGTCACTAGACGTAACAATTGAACATAACCATAGTAGCTAAAAGTTATTAAGTAACATTTTTTTCCTTTATCATTATTTGGTCATATATTAAGTATTGTTTCTAAAAGTTACTCCCCACGTCCCAACTTAAGATTCTCACTTGCCCTTTATGGACGTCTCAGCTAACGATTCTCATTTCCATTTTAGGATATACATAGCACTCCTAAATTACAACTCAATCATCAAATATTAAAAATAATAAACCAATAACATCACCGCTATCATCGATGACCTCTTTATATGATATATCCATCAAAACAACTTCTCAAAACATACTCGAATAACCTTATTTATTTATTTTCTAAATAAATGTGTCATTTTTCAATGAGAAGCTAAATCGGGCTGGAGGTAGTACCTAAAAATGTAAAACCGCAGGTCACACAAAATTGGGCACATATGGTAATTACAAGCTTTAGATGGTAAGGAGATACCGGTCAGCGATATGTTTCGTTACTTGAGCTCCATAATTCACAAGGACGGCGGGTTAGATGGAGATGTATCCTATAGAATCAGAACAGGGTGGATGAAGTGGAAGAGTGCGTCAGGATTTCTATGCGATCGAGGTATGCCGACTAGACTGAAGGGTAAATTTTATAGGACAGCAATTAGGCCTGCATTACTATATGGCACAGAGTGTTGGGCGGTGAAACAATGTCACATTCAAAAAATGAGTGTGGCAGAGATGCGCATGCTGCGTTGGATGTGTGGGCATACTAGAAAGGACCGCGTGAGGAATGAGACAATCAGACAAAAGGTGGGAGTAGCACCTATTGAAGATAAGATGCGGGAGTCGCGCCTACGGTGTTTTGGTCATGTGCATAGAAGACCAAGTGATGCACTTGTCAGACGAGTTGAGATGTGTGGAGAAGAGGCAGGGAAGAGAGGGAGAGGAAGGCCCAAACAGACGTGGGTCAGGGGAGTCAGAAGTGATATGCTTCTTCGTGTGGAGGAGTGATCTTGTATTATCTTTTCCCTTTTTTTTATCCTTATATATAAATATTACTTTATCCTTTTTATTTTATCTTTTATATGTATATTCATCTCTTTTATATTATCATTTTTTATAACAGCTTATCTTTTTTATCTTTATTTTCTTTCTTTTCCTTTTGGTGATATCATGTATCAATTCATGTTAGCCGACGCCAATATCGTTTGGGACTAAGGCTTGGATGTTGTTGTTATGGTAATTACAAGCTTAGTTGAGACATTTCGCATATTATTCCATATTTTTTGTTTTTAAGCCCTTGTTTGGTTGAGGTCTTTAGTTTAGACTGCTATATCCCCCACCCCTTTGGGGTAGATGAGTTATATTTTTTTCATACTTTACTAAAAAAATTGAATATTATTACTAAATTTTGAATTACTAAAAAGCTGTGGTATGTCAAATATAATAATTCTTTTTTTCCTAAAAACAATAATCCTCATCACTTCTCCACAGAAACCTAAGTATTACAACATCTTTTTAAGCTCTTCCCTTTTCCGCTCATCCACTCTCCTCATTTCACCTTCCATACCCTCTTTTGAATCAGAGGCTTAATTTTCAACTTCATGTTTGATCATATTGAGAAACTACGCATAACAGGACTGTCATTTTAAACACAATTGAAGTGACAGCTAAAGACAAATGCTTTAACATTCAAAAATCACTTACAGTAGGATGAAGTCCCATACGTGGAGGGTCCACAATTGCGACCACATTGTTAAATGTTTGCACTGTAGTAGGGGTATTTTCTAAACTGCCAATTTTCTGAAACTTCTCATCAGTATCTACGTTGCAATTTCCCAGCACTTCAGCAACTTTTTTATCATTTTCACGGTCAGATCCATTTTTGTGTTCTGATTCAATCTTTTCTTGATCTTGGGTAATACCTGAGTCATTCTTTTTTACCGACTCAGTTAATTTATCCACTACCGGAGATGTGTTCTCCACTTCATCTTTGCTGCCATCTTTTAACCCACCAACCATGCCTCCATTGTCATCTAAGTCAACCTTTCTCACTGATGGATCATCTTTCGTCTGAGGTGTATCTAGGTACTCTCTCAGTACAGAACCCAATACATCTTCTGCCTGGTATTCATTTGTGCAACTTGAGGAATCAAGACACAAGAATAAATACTACCCCCCCCCCACAAACATCACAAATCATACTTACTTTTGAAGCATCTATTGATGTACTAAGGATGTTTTTGTTTGAACTGTTTTCCATCCCAGACCAAACCAGACCAGGCTTAAACAGACTAGACCAGACCAGACTTCCATAGTTATACAATACACACGGACCAGACATTTACCAGAACAGTTCAGACCATACCAGACTTAAACAGACCAAACCAGATCAGACCAAACTAGACCAGCAAAATTCAATCAAACTGAAAACATCCTAAATCTATCACTGACTCTCTTGTTGATTATTCTGGCAAAAGTGTTTTGGAACATACCTCTTTTATGTGGCGGATAGAGTGTCAACAAAATAATGATAACAAATAACTAAAAATTGCAGGAAGTGGGGTTGTTCAAGGCGGCCGATAACTGATTAACCATTGGTTAATAAAATCCATTCCTAATGATTGAGATTAGGGGTGGTTCGGTACGGTATATAAATATTTTCTTTCATACCTTTGTCGTACCAAAACTTTCAATATACAAAATTTATATACCGTTACCTTATCAAAATTTCAATTCAACGCATTTCGGTATACCGAAGTTTCGATTCGGTAACAGTACGGTATCGGTAAATTACCATGCATTTTTCTCAATACAACAAATTATCAGACTGACAAAATATACAGATTCGGTGTTACTAGCGACATTTAATCCATTATTAAAATGTTACAAAATACAAATAATCAAGTATTGATGTCATATTCAATATTGAACTATAATTATTACTAGTATATTTAAGAAGTTCAACATGCCACATATTAAAAAATAACACATTCTCTTAAAATAACTTAAACAATATAACAAACTATAACTAAATCAATAGTGATCTCTGACAAAAAAAAAAATCAACAAACATGGATATAAAATCATTTATCACTAATATGATGTTGTGTATTTAGTCATTTTTATAACTTTAAAAAAAATATTCGACTAGGACATTCGGTATTACGGTATACCGGTATATCTTTATTTTCAAAACATATACTGATACCATACTGAATATACTGGTACCATATCATACCGAAAATGTCGGTATACCTAAATCTTCGATAAATTCGGTATATTTCAATATGGTAAATGCGGTATACCGAAATTTTGGTATTTTTCCACAGCCCTACTTGAGATTAACCACTTGCACAGATTCTCCAGAAAATACCATGAGAGTAAAATTTCTTTTAGAGTAAAAGTCAACTCACGATTTAGTTAAAAACTAATCAAACAAACGAACTCCATATTGCATAAACATTTAATGATGAAATTATAGTGTTCCATACCTCCACCCATAAGCTATAATGCCATGATGACAGTTGAAACATAAAATGCAATGTTAAATTTAAACCATCAAAAGATTGTGTAATAAGATACGCTAGAAAGATAGAAACAAATCTTACTATGAAAAATGTTCCATTTTTACTGCCTAAAAGTATGGGTAAAAAATGGGTCTAAGCGGGTCAAGAATAGTCTCACAAAACGGGTCAAGAATAGACTGACAAAATGGTCTTAGATGTTTTTAATTGGACTGAAGTTTTCTGGTTTGTTCTAGTAAATATTTGTTTTATATGTATTTTACTAATGTTTAAGGTTGCTTTTAATAGGGCTGAAATTTTCTAGTTAGATCTGCTCTGGTCTGTTTAAATCTAGTCTGGTCTAATCTCATTTGAACCGGTCTAGTTTGGTAGATGTCTGTTTTATATGTATTTTACTATTGTCTAAGTCTGGTTTGAGTTGGTAGATTTGTTTAAGTCTGGTTTAAGATAAAATATACTTGCCTTTAATTGCTCTGTCACTTATAACTTGGCCCCTGGTTTAAGATAAAATATACTTGCCTTTAATTGCTCTGTCTCTTATAACTTGGCCCATTTTCCATTTTTATTGTACCAAGAGCTTACTTTCCCTTTTAACTGCTCTGGTATGTTTAAATCTAGTCTGGTCTAATCTCATTTGAACCGGTCTAGTTTGGTAGATGTCTGTTTTATATGTATTTTACTATTGTCTAAGTCTAATTTGAGTTGGTAGATCTGTTTAAGTCTGGTCTAAGATAAAATATACTTGCCTTTAATTGCTCTGTCTCTTATAACTTGGCCCATTTTCCATTTTTATTGTACCAAGAGCTTACTTTCCCTTTTATTTGCTTTCCCTACACATAACCTCCTCAACCACACAGTTTTTATTCTACTCCCTCCGTTTCCAAAAGAAAGTCACGGTTTGACTTCACGATTATTAAGGAAATAAATTGACTTTACTGTAGAAAACACTGTTTAGACACTGTTTGGCACTGTTTCGCACTGTTTGGCACTGTTTGGATGTAGATTTCTTTGCCAAATAAGAAAATAAGGGAAGTGTGACTTTGTTTTTGAAATATCCCAAAAAGGAAAATGTGAGTTTTTTTTAGAAACGGAGGGAGTATTATATTACGCACTGTCAAATTTCACTAAGTTATGAGGGACGGATGGAGTATTATTTAAACTAATTTTGTGTTCGTCCATCGCATTTGTGAAAATCTAGTAGAAAAGAATATGAAAATAACATCACCTTTGCACAAATAAATTTGCAGTTCTTAATACCATTTATATCTGCATTCCTTTTAGCATCCAAAACGGCAGATGCATTCATTTCAATGCCGACAACCTAAAAAATCAGAAAAATAAGAAGCAAAGTAACTTTATCCAATTCATTTTTAGAAAAAAACAAAAAAAAATCAGAACTTAACTCATAATGGAAAATGAGTTTTAATCCTATGAAGCAAAATTGCTAATATACTAAACAAGTTAATGGATAAAGTGAATCAGTCAATCAAACAGAGTAGTGAACATTACCATACCAACACGATGGGATAGAGTGAGGCCAATTGTACCAGTTCCACAGCATATGTCAAAAAGTAATGTATCGGGGCCTAGCCCTGCCCATTCTCCGGCAAGGGAGTACAGCTTCTCTGCTGCAAGGCTGTTTACCTGCAAATTTCTTGAAGAATAAGATAAGAAATAATACACATTTATCTGTAAGATATGCTTTTAGACCCCCCCCCCCCCACAAAAACAATCATGCAAAAAGAAGTGGCTAAAAGAGCTTCTTATACCAGCCCTGCCCACTCAGAATTTATGTCTGCCACATCCCTATTCAGCCAACAGAAACTTAACAGCGGGACAACAACCAACCATTTCCATGCAAGGGGAGTGGAACTATAGGAATACATTTTCAGCAGGACAATGGGCATTGCTTAACCCTTCATGTAATGTGACAAGAGAAGAATGATGGCGAGGAAAAGATAAATATGGAAGAAAGTAAAGGGACCTCACTTGAAAGAAAGCTGTAGGTGATATACAAAATCGGAGACCATTTATATAATCATGAATTTTTGCTTCGGCAATTTCACCAGCTGCTTCTGTTCCATAATCACTTTCTTCTTTTACAATGGGAATAGACCTGAGAGGAGCATCTGATGGAGCAACATTTGATATACCAGTGTGGTCCTGCATTAGTAGATATATTTTATGCATACTTGGAAGAGAGGAATAACCAGGGAGGTAATTGAAAAAGAAATAAACACATTTTATAGCCACAGTATTCCAGTATGAAGTACCTGAAGAACCAAACAAGTAAGGGGTAACACAGGAAATTCGGTAGAAGCGCCGTGAGAAAAGGCTTTAGCCATCTTCTGAAGTTCAGTGTTAACTACTTCACCTTCTAGCCCAGCAGAGCAGACCTAAGAAACTCAGAATCAGAGTGTAAGAAATAAAATACTCCCCACCTGTCAAAATAAAAGCCCACATTGACTGGGCATGGAGATTAAGAAAATGGAAACAAACTGTGAGGTTTAGAATCATTTAGAAGATATTGAAATAATGTGAGCCACATATTGATTTTCTTGAAAGGAAATGGGTGATAATTTTGTGACGAACAAAACATGAAGTGTGATAATTATTTTGATAGGTACCTGGACAGATCTGAGCAATACAGTAAACTAACAAGCAGGAATCTGATGAAGGATAGAGAAATAGGGTTTATTGATAAACGTAGATAAACCGTAGGTAACTCAGGGACAGGGACTTATTAGACAACAAGGCAACATTTAATCAAATAACAGTCTACCTAAAATAGCTATTCCCCCTTCTATTTATAGCTATCATCCACACGGATATGCCAGAAATTACTAATACCCCCTTCCCTTCTATTAATACTACTACAATTACCTTTACTAATACTATTATTATTTCTAATTATTAGCCTACTAAGCCATATTCCTATCATTACTCCCCCCCTGAACAACCACCTTGTCCTCAAGGTGGGTGATAGGAATCAGCCATGATCTTCCACTTGCACTTCATTCTTGCACCTCTTCCTTCCCAATACTTTCCTGATTGTTGTACCATGAGCTTCAGGATCTGCACGCTTAGTCCCCTAGATGGAAAGCCCTTGTCCTCCCTCAGTAGTGCCTCTCTCACAGCTTTCAACATACCACTTGAATGAAGCTTCTCACTGAAAAGATCATACAAAACTTTATCCGCATGCGTGTCAAAAGAGAAGTCAAGTGAACTTGAGCCATAGTGCTGTGTTTCTCTATATGAGTTTAAGAATTCCACAGCTTCCAATGGTATCCCACAATCATGAAGCAAAAGTAGCATTTGTTCCAGTACAATACACACCCTACTATCAACTTTAAGATCAGGCTTATTTTCCCTGTATAATGCACCCATCTGCTGAAGTATAGGAAACTCCAAGGTAGAATAGCCCGAAGACTTCACACACTTCCCCTGTGCCAAGTTGGACACTTCAGCAGGCAGCGTGCCTGATAATTTTTTAACAATTGAAATTGCAAATTGCAGTGAATTGCTGCCATGGGCCTTGGAATGGCTGGACCTGTCAGCAACACAATTCGGTGTGCTGTTTCCAAAGATGATAGCAGATTCCTCAGAAAAAGGATAACCATGGTCCTCCCGAGCCTCTGGACCAGTCTTCCTTTTACCATGGTCTGTGATTCTGAGAAGTATATCAGTTGAGTCACCCTTTGTGAATGTTAAATATTGATTGTCCCGTACCCACCAGAACCTACTCTTTTGGTCCGTCTCCTCTAGGTTATGCAAATTTATCTTTACAAACCTCTTGCTGCCCAAAAATGTCAGCATGAACTCACCAAAATTTTCTGAAAACATTTCCTTTGGTTGTTGATGATGTTGACCCTTGACAAGTACAGTGTGATCTTCTATGATGTCCAAGAATTTAAGTAATCCCTTTTCATAGGCAATTAAAACTCTGCTTCCAAATGAACATGGGTGTAGAAGCAAACCAGTAATAGATACTTGGCTGGGCACCAAATCCAAGTTGGCTGCAAGAATAGGAGAAACATAATTTGGCAATTGTCTTTTCCCGGCATCATATTCCAACATAGACACACCATCTGTAAAGAGCAATTTAAGCTTTGGAAGCCCTTCCAATATAGGCTGGAAGTCAACAGGCAGCATATAACCAAGTGAACCAACATAATCCTTATAATTCCCAGCAAGTATAATCCCCATTCCATTTTGAATACACTTCATATAAGCATCACTATCAAATCTGAAACCATCCATCTTATTCTGCCCCTCCAAAGTCAAGTTTGATGCATGACAGTGCTCAATATTCATTAAAACACCCAACCCTGGTTCATAAACTATATCACCCAAAAATTTAAATGTTTCTGAGTTTTGGTCTAGGGTACTAGCATACCTTCGGACATCAGAAGTTTCTAATCTCCTGTCATCTGTAGCCTTGCTTCCGGAATATAATCCAATCAAACACCCAATATCAAATTTATCCATCACACCAATCCATGCCCTATAATCTGCATACTTCTTCAGAATGTTTTCCTCCTCTATTTTCTCAATCTCCTCTTTACAGGCAGTCCAGGCACCAAAATCCAGAGACATGGTTCTCACGATGTTTTGAGTAAATCCCTTCTTAGCCATAGCATAATTTGTGTTCATGCCATGAACACCAGCAACGGAACCAACTACCAAAATAGGACCCTGAGAAACAGATAGGTGTTCAGCAATTGCGCCAGCTTTAGGGGCAACTACAACTGCTGCTTGCTCTTCGCATATGTACTCTGGATTCGATTCCATGATTACCGATTCATCCCGCTTCGACTCAGATTGTGGATTTTGTAACAAGGAGATTTGTGCCTGGTGAGAGAAGACTAGGGACGACGGGTTGTGAGGATTGGCGAGTGAGGAAGCCTGCAAACTGGAAACATCTGCTAGCGTTGGAGTCTGTGAAATTGGAGAAACATCTTGTGGAGAAGATAGTAAACTGGAAGAAGATTTTGGCCAGGAAACCTGCGAACACCTGAGGCAGTCAACTTGCGATGATGAACTGTAAGGAGAAAGGTGAGAGTCGACTGGCGAAGTGGAAGGCGATGTTGGCGCTTGATATGAAATCTGAGAACGAGTAGAAGGGATGGACGACTGCGAACTGGGAGAAATAAGTGACGATGTTGACTGAGAAGACTTCTGCGAACTAGGAGGATAAGATCGCGTCGAACTCTGCGATTTTGAACTGAGAGAGGAAGTTCGCGTAGAAGATTGCGAACTGAAAGATAAATTCGTAGACGCTGTACGCGACTGCGAAGTTTTCTGCGAACTGGTGCGCGATTGGCGATGTGATGCGTAAGAGGCATGCAATTTGCTTCGTGAACTACTCCGGATTTCTCTCTCCCGATTTGCGAGGCTCACCTGCATCGCCGCCCTGGAAGTCCCGCTGCTGTTCTGGAAGTGTTCGTTCATCGCTATTGTCTGTCCGGCAATGTTTCCAGCCAACTTTTTCAAGTCGGCAAGGATCCTCTCCAGCGAATCCATTCTCCTCTCCAATTCTGGTGTACATAATTCTTCCATCTCTCCAGTTTGTTGATGCTGTTGATCGATCGAGTCAAACGCCAGGAAGGAGTGCTCTGATACCATTGATAGGTACCTGGACAGATCTGAGCAATACAGTAAACTAACAAGCAGGAATCTGATGAAGGATAGAGAAATAGGGTTTATTGATAAACGTAGATAAACCGTAGGTAACTCAGGGACAGGGACTTATTAGACAACAAGGCAACATTTAATCAAATAACAGTCTACCTAAAATAGCTATTCCCCCTCTATTTATAGCTATCATCCACACGGATATGCCAGAAATTACTAATACCCCCTTCCCTTCTATTAATACTACTACAATTACCTTTACTAATACTATTATTATTTCTAATTATTAGCCTACTAAGCCATATTCCTATCATATTTAGATATGGAGGAAGTAATGAGTCTTGACAGATAAAAGGTAGGCGTTTTTTCAGCTAACCAGCAGCTGGATTTTTCACCAAAAACCAACTTATTTCACTTCAATAACTAATAGTGAAAAAGTACTCCCCACATCGCATCATTATCTGCTGTTTTAATAACTTGGCATGAGGATTAATTAAGGAAAAAACTGCATGATTGAAAGATTCTAGAAGACAGAGACATGAGTACATGACATGAACCACACAATTCATTCCCTAAAAAGAAAGGGTAACACTGTAACTTATTTTGGGAAGGTTGAAAAGGGAAAAAAATAAGGTTTATTTTAGGACATAGGGAATACAAGTATTATGGTAAAATAAAACACTATTAGAAAAATTAACTTTAACAAAACAACACTTTAACCTTTGAGTACAAGTATTATTTCTGTACTCTAATAAAGAAATATTTATGATATAATTTTAAGTAATTCAGCAGATTCAACCACTTAACTATTTTGCAAGTTACCAAATAGGCTTTTACTTGAAACGCACTAACCTGAACCATGAGCATGACCTCTGAAATATGTGGCAAATCAGTATTGGCAACCACATCAATCTTTCCAGGCACTCTGCCCTCCCGAACCTACACAGATATTATAAAAGAAAACAATAAGATGACAGCACTGAGCAGTGGGTACAGCATATATTCCCAATTCAAGTAGCAGCACATATCTTTTACTGACTAAGATCGGAACCTGCGCTGATATGGAATCGAGCAAACAGAATAACTCGTCATCTAAATCTAAATCACTTGAAGAAGTGAATCACAGTAAAAGGAATGAGGAGGTAAGGGAGATCTTGATACAAAACATTAATTAGCTCATCTTGATCTAAATCTACCTTATATCATTTTTATGCTTTTATAACTTTTTATCTTTTATCTTTCTTATATTCTTATGTTATTGTTATCCTATATTTATCTTATCCATTGTATCTTACCATTTTTCCCTTCATCTTTTTTCTCTTTTTCGCATTGATATCATGGATCGATTCATGTTAGCCGACCCCAAATTCTTTTGGGATTAAGGCTTGGATGTTGTTGTTGTTGTAGGTGGAGGTGGAAGTGTGAAAAGGGTTTTTGGTAAAAGAGCCAGTCAATCACAGTTCGATGGTGATTAGGCAATGCAAGAAGGGTATGGATTCTGTTTTTCATTGGGTTCTTTGAGTGATAGACCCAAGATTAAGAGATATGCATCTCAATGTAATTAATGTAATTCCAGAGATCCCTTTACTAACTCATCTCGTAAAGATGAGCTACCAAACTACTATAGTTTATGCCAAGATCAGTCACTGGGTGAAGGGGACTTTGGGATGCTATTGAGATCAATCCAGCATTTTTGACTCCCAGCGATTAGTAGATTTATTGCCTATACTTATTACTTATACACAAAGAGAACAAGGGTGGAGGTTGCCCAAACCAGCCGGCTATCAATGAATTTGTTGATTGCACTTTCAATGCTTCTCTGATTAAAATTGATATGAACAATGTCATATGTTGACCTGGAATAGAAGGTTTTTGTGGGAAAAATGGATAGGACACTCATTGATGGTGACTGACTAAGTAAATAGGAAAGCTGAGGCTTCAAACTGGGATGCCACCGAGTATCTGGCCATATATAATCATAGCTTTGTTAGAGAAGTGCTACTGCTCCCCCCCCCCCCTCCAGATTTGCAAATCAAAGAATCTGGAATTGTTTTTTAAATCCCTCTTTGAAAAAAAAAGAGAATGTAAGCCTGGGAAATGAACTATCGGAGGCTATTCCCGGTTGATGGTGACGGGTGATTCGCGCAGACTGTGTCGCTCAGCCCTTGCGACGGTGATTCGCGCAGCACTGCACCCGCCTTGCAGCCCTCGTTTGATGGTGAAGACCCAATTGGGTGGATTGCTAGGGCTGAGCAACAGTTGAACTGAACTATACTCCGCCGGAAAAGAAGGTGGTAGTCACTGTTGTTGAGATAGAAGGGTTAGCAATATACTGGTTGACCTGGTTACGGGCACGAAAGCGGGCATGTCATGGGATGAGCTTACACAAGCATTGGTGGCTTGTTTTGACTCACGGTTCAAGGGCAATCGCTTTGAATGACAGTCCGGAGTCAAGCAGACGCGGACTGTGGAGAAGTACTGTTAGGGTAGCAGGGTACATGGTTGAAGTCGTAACCTGCCTGCTAGAGTTATTCACTTATTCCTCTTCTTGCCCATGGCTGGAAGAGCGAAGGGGAGGGTGGAAGTCCGTGACTTCTCTCTGGGAATAATTTGAATGATCGATGATCCTTAGGAAACAAGATCAAGTCCTAATCTAATTAAAACTCTAACTGAAAATTCTAAATATCTTAGGAAACAATATTAAATAGGCATCCTATCTCTTACAGGATCAAGTCCTAATCTAATTAAAACCCTAACTGAATATTCTAAATATCTTAGGAAACAATAAATCTTAGGAAACAATATATATTAAAATATATCAAGCTAGACTACTCATTTAATTAAACGTCTCTCTGGCCCATATGCTTCCTTCTACGGTATGGAATCCCATAAAAAGCATCCTTAACATTACTCCCTCCCTCGACACTGAGCTTGTCCCCAAGCTCAAATCCTGGATAATAGGGGTGAGCATGGGACGGTACGGGACGGTTATTTCAAAAAACCTGTCCCGTCCACAAGTACGGTTCTTTTAAAAATCAAGAACCAGTATCATCCCGCATATATATGGAACCTGTCCCGTTCCGTACCAATGTTCAGTACGGTTCGGTACGCTACGGTTCTCGAGTGTTATTTGGTTCCTAAATAATTAACCGCCATGAAATTTAATTAACCATATTTACAAAGCATTGTTTATATGATTTAGTATTGTTTTTGTTTTAAAGCTAACTTTTAGAACTGTCAGTCTTAATAATTGGATTACGCCCAAAGAATATGCAAGATTGCATATTTGTAATATATGGACATATGGTCACTGACATTTATACTCGGTAATATGTTATATATAATATATTATTATATTATAACACTAGTTTTCGGGACATATGGTCACTAACATTTATACTCGGTAATATATTATGTATAATATATTATTATAATATAAGACTAGATTTCGGGATAATTCGGAACGGTACGGGACGGTTCGGGACAATACAGTATCGGGATGGTTCCGGAATGGTTCTCACTAAGATCCGGTACCGTACCATATTATTAAAAAAGCTTGGTACGGTACGGTTTTACATTTTTCCGATTCTATCGGTTCTGGAATGATTTGAGACGGTTCTTCGGGACGGAACGGGAATTCCCAGATCCGCGCTCAGCCCTACTGGATAAGCTGCGACAAAAATCTCAGATGGCTCCCAAGTTGCCTCAGCTGGTGTACTGCCTTGACATTTGATAAGTACCCGACTAATCTACTTAATAAGAATAAATACTTTGGGCAAGTGTGTTCTAGAAGGTCAAAGTAGGCTAGTTAGTTATTAGTTAGTTGGCTGGTATTACTAATAACTACCTTCCGTTTGGTACCACAAACGGAAAGGATCGGACAATAAAATTGTTCCTGCAGAGGGTAGGCAGGCTGTTAGATGCTGGGACTGGGATTGGGAAAGATCGAGTGTTATCTCTTTCTTTTGGGACTTGTATATGGTTTACCATATTGAAATAAAGTTGCAAATTGTTCTTGAGCTTAATTCTCTGTAGATTAGCTTGATTTTCTTAGTGATTTACTATTACGAACCTGCGCATCTCTATCATTGGTATCAGAGCAGGTTTTGTGCGCTGAATGTCCTGGACGCGTGCAAAGATGGGAGAATGACTGAAATCGAGAGGAGTCAACGGGAATTGGTGGCATCGATGGAGGCGAGCATGGCAACGATGCAAGCCAATATCGCCGCGTTGATGAAGAGAGATAGGCATAAATCGCGAAGCAGGTCGCATACATCACACTCTTCGCATCGGACCTCACATCACAAACACAAGAAAGGATCGGACAGTTCATCACACTCTTCGCATAGTTCTGATGATCATTCGGTATCTTCTTCATCGCATATGGATAACGATCATCACAGAAGCCATCACAATCAGCAAACAGGTCGGAAAATTGACCTACCTCTTTTTAATGGTCAAGATGCTTTCGGTTGGCTAGTAAGAATGGATCGTTACTTCAGGTTGAATAATACCAAGGAAGAAGACAGAATTGATGTTGCGGTGATTGCTATGGAAGATCAGGCACTTAGTTGGTTCCAATGGTGGGAGCGACAAGCCTTACAGCGCAATTGGGAAGAATTTGAAGAAGCTTTGACCAGGAGGTTTCAACCTGACCTCGTGCATAATCCCTTGGGAACTTTGCTAAGTTTGAAGCAAAGAGGTTCAGTGGCAGAGTTTAGGACACAGTTTGAAGTGGCTATGGCTTCTCAAAAGCATCTTAGTGAAGAGGTTTTGAAAGGAATTTTTCTGAAGGGACTTAAGAGAGATGTGAGGGCTGAATTGAAATTATACAGTACCAGAACCCTAGCTAAGGTTATGGATGTAGCCGGATTGACTGAGAATAAAAACAATGAAGTCATGATCAAGAAGAACAAGGATGAAGGCAAGAAGCGGTGGAATGGGAAGAATGGATCTGATAATCAGCAGCTGAATTGGGGAAATAGTAGTATGTGGAAGAGTAACCCTAATGCTACCACAAGTTCTGGCAAGATCATACAGGAAAGCAAGCCAAATGACAGTGTGATAACACATGTTCAGAACAGAAGCCCCAGATTATCCCAAAGTGAATTGTTAGAAAGAAGTAAAAAGGTTCCATGTTTTAAATGCGGAGAAAGTTGGGGAAAAGGACATGTTTGCAAGATGAAAAACTACAAAATGATTTTGGTGGAGCAGACTGAGGGTGAAAATGAGTCAGATGAGGAAATCATAGGGTTAGAAGAGGAACATAAACCTATCTTGGAGCTAAAAACTATGCAGCTATCTGTTTTAAGCAAAGAGGGTATACCTTCCATGAATACTTTCAAAGTCAAGGGACAAATGCAGTGGCCAGGAGGGAATAAAATAGTCAGTATCCTCATCGATTGTGGTGCTACCCACAACTTTGTATCCCAGTCACTAGTAGGAAGATGGCAGATTCCATATACCCCAATCCATGGCTACAAAGTACAGATTGGTAATGGTGATTGCATTACTAATAGAGGCAGATGTACTGAACTGAAAGTGAATGTGCAGTGGATTGACATTCAACAAACCTATTATATATTGGATTTAGGAGATACAGATTTGGTGTTAGGTATGGAGTGGCTGACTGGATTAGGTGACATGGAAGTGAACTTTAAACTTAAAATTCTGAGATGGAGGATTGAAGATCAGGAGTTCATTTTAAAGGGGGATACAGCTTTGAACCAACTGGAAGTTTCTTTCAAAACCATGGCTCACATTTTGCAGCAGAATGGGGATGGATACTTATTATGCTATGAAGGGTTGGACAAGGGCAAGAGGCAGGAATAGGAAGGTGAGGATGATTGGGAGGAGCTATTAGCTAAATTTCCTGAAGTTTTTACTACTCAGCTAAAATTTCCACCAGCTATTAGCTAAATCTGAGGCCCTACAGGTAT